GAGAGCTTTGCTTTCCGGCTCAGTTCTTTCTTAGCTACGATGAACCATAAAACTGCAGACGCCGCTCCGATTCGTCTATCCAGCTCTCGATCTCGCCTACCCTCACTCATGAACCCCGAAATACTTGAACTCCTCCACTTGCGAGGCATTCCTGAGACCACCAAACTGGACACCCTCAACACCCTGGCTGCACCTAGAAATCTTATCCATAAATATTATGGCCCTTGCGGAGCCCAACCCGCACTGGGAACACATCCGACTTATTACCAGCAATGCGGACCAAGCTTCTGCTCCGTTCATACAGGGACCAAATTTCCCACAATAGTGGACCCCGAACCCCACAGGGGCACCTCGGGGAACCCGGTCATAAGCCTTTTCCAAGTTCACAAAACACATGTAGACTGGATAGGCAAACTCCCAGGCCCCCTCCAGTACCCTCGTAAGGGTATAAAGCTGGTAGAGTGTTCCACGGCCAGGACGAAAATCGCATTGTTCCTCCTGAATCCGAGATTTGACTATCTATCTCACCCTCCTCTCCAGTACCCCGGAAAAGACTTTCCCAGGAAGGCTGAGAAGTGTGATCCCCCTATAGTTGGAAAACACCCTCCGGTCCCCTTTCTTAAATAAGGGGACCACCACCCTGGTCTGCCAATCCAGCAGCACTGTCCCTGACCTCCACACGCTGTTGAGAAGGTGTGTCAGCCATGACAGCCCCACAACATCCAGAGCCCTTAGGTACTCTTGGTGGATCTCGTCCACCCCCAGGGCCCGGCCACCACGTAGCTCTTTAACCACCCTGGCCACCTCAGCCCAGTGTAGGGCAAGTCTACTCCAGCACCCCCATGCTCTGTGCCCCCAGATGTCTCAAAGGCAGTGCGCGCAGATGTTTCTGAGGCAGGGTTGAGGAGGTCCTCAAAGTATTCCTGCAACTCCGGGTGATGTCCCCAGGTGAAGTCAGCAGCACCCCCTCCCCACTATAAATGGTAGGAACCAGGAGCTACTTCCCCTTCCTGATATTCCGGATGGTTTGCCAGAACCTTTTTGAGGCCGACCAAAAGTCACTTTCCATGGCCTCACTAAACTTCTCCCACGCCCGGGTTTTTGCTTCCGCAACCACCTGAGCCACGTTCTACCCATCAGCTGCCTCCGGAGACCTCAGGGCTAATAATTCCCGGTAAGCCTCCTTCTTCAGCTTGACGGCCCCCCTCACCTCTGGTGTCCACCATCGGGTATGAGGGTTACTGCCATACACCGACCACCCTGCAGCCACAGCTCTGTACGGCCGCTTCCACAATGGAGGTCCAGAACCATGTCCATTCAGACTCAATGTCCCCAACCTCCCCCGGTATGCAGTTGGAATTCAGCCGGAGGTGCGAGTTAAAGGTCCGGCGAACAGGAGCCTCAGCCAGACGTTCCCAGCAGAACCTCACTATGGGCTTGGGCCTACCAGGTCTGACCGGCTTCCTCCCCCGCCACCTGAGCCAACTCATCACCAGGTGGTGATCAGTTGACAGCTCTGCCCCTCTGTTTACCCGAGTGTCCAAGACAGAAGACTGCAGATCAGATGATACGATTATGCAATCGATCATCGACCTTTACCCCCGGGCTTGTTCATACCATGTCCACATATGTACACCCTTATGCTTGAGCATGGTGTTCATTATGGACAAACCATGCATTGCACAGAAGTCCAGTAACAGAACACCACTCGGGTTCAGATCAGGGAGGTTGTTCCTCCCAATCACCCCCCTCCAGGCCACACTGTCATTGCCCACGTGAGTGTTCAAGTCCCCTAGCAAAACGATGGAATCCTCTCGTGGCGCGATAACCAGCACACCACTCAGGGAGCCCAAGAAGGCCGGGTACTCTGAACTGTCATTCGCATAAGCGCAGATGACAGTCAGAGACCTATCCCCAACCCAAAGGCACAGGGAGACAGCCCTCTCGTTCACTGGGGTAAACTTCGTTGTTAATGCACCGAGCTGTGGGGCCACCAGTAGCCCCACCCCCGCCCGGTGCCACTCACTTGCTACAGCTCCATAAGAAGAGTGTCCAGCCCCTCTCCAGGAGATTGGTTCCAGAACCCACGCTATGCGTTAAGGTGAGCCCAACTATATTTAGCTCACAAGCTCACGCACAAGCTCAGGCTCCTTCCCCACCAGAGAGGTGACATTCCATGTCCCGAAAACCAGTTTTGTCAGCCGGGTATTGGACCGCCAGGGCCTCCCTTGGCCGCCACCCGATCCATAATGCACTGAACCCACATTTCCCTTGCGGGTGGTGGGCCCACATGGGGACGGTCCCGCATGCCTCTTTCGGGCTGGGCCCAGCCGGGCCCCACGGGCCAAGGCCCGGTCACCAGGCGCTCTCCAACAGGCCCCTCCCCCAGGCCTGGCTCCAGGGTGGGGCACCAGTGAACCTAGTCTGGTTGAAGGGAAACAAGACCTTGATAGGATTCTTTGTCATAGGGTTTTTTTTGGATTTCTCTTTGTCTGGTCCCTCCCCTGGGAACTTTTGGCATTGAGAGACCCTACCAGGGGCTATTGCCCCTACAACATAGCCCTCAGGGTCACTGAGGCACGCAAACCACAGGGTAGGATCTCCTTGCTCAATTTTATGCCAGCCACCCCTCACAACCAGAACCCTGACCCCATGGCAGACCACAATGCCTTCCCCAACCGCCAGGGGTCGGTCATCGGGGGGTTCTGTCATACCTGCAGGCAGAGTGGCAATCAACACAGCTGTGAACAATTAAGGGAATGCCCACTCCCCTACTTAAACCTGCAACCTGCGGTATTTGTGATTATGCAATTGCTGAGCGTTATAATCCTGTCTTTGTTTCAGCTCCATACTACCCGACTTTCCCTGCCTCCACTTCCCGCGCCTCCTGAATCTTCCCAATCCTGTCCGACCTAGCCCCGCTCCTCCCTCATGGATCTTCCCCATGTCTCCTGTCCATGTGTCTGGATTGTTCTTTTGGCTTCCTGACCTTTATGCTCCTGGCTCATCGACTACTCTCATGGATCATGCTCTTAGTTTTTGTGCTTGGTATGGACTGATCTCTGGTTTTGACCCTGTCTGCCCCTTGGATCACGATTTGACTTCTGCTAATAAACGGATCCTGGTGAATAGCCCAGAGTGTCCTGATGTGAGTGTTACAATGATAGGATGCCACCTGTGCAATAAATCCATTCATAATATTTCCTAGCTACTAAATATTCCATGGTCAACTGTGGTATTATAACAAATAACTATTACATACTGTTCTATTAGTAGGTGGCAATACTAACTCACTAAATTCCTGTTTTAGCTATATCGCAATGCAATATCCATGCTGTTGTAACTTTGTTGTTGACATTGTAAAAGCATGATAGGCTGCAGCCACGTATAGTTAAAGGATATTTAAGACTTTGCACATTTTATTTCAAGTGGCTTTTATAGGATTTCTAATCTGTGTGCCCTGCAATAAACTGATTTATTTTTTTAATGTTTTTATTTAACAGTTGTCTTTGTGAAAAGCAACACACAAGTGAAGATACTGTAAGACAGCAGGGTCAGTGTCCCTGGAGCAGTTGGCATAGTGGTCTTGCTCCAAGGCCTAACAGTGACATCACTCTGTCAGCCACGGGAGTTAATAACCTACAGAGATGATTACACTATAAGGACATACTTATGTAATGACCCCAATTAATTAGTGGAATTGGCTAATTGCAGCCATTGCTGGCATATGTATATATTTAAGCACATAGTTGCTTGCACATCCCCTGCAACCAACATTAGGAGCAGAATAAGTGGTTTTATAAAAGAGTGACTTTCCACATGGATTCAATTTGCTGAATTTCAGCTCTGCTAGAGCTGTCCTAGTCAACTGCAAGTGAAGTGATTGAGAAGTGGAAACATCTGGCAGCAAATTGCATTGCAAAGTGGTAGGCATCATAAACTCAATCCGAATGCAGCAAATCCCACCAGCAGTGTTCCAACATCTACTGGAAAACCTTCCCAGAAGATCAGAGGCTATTATAGCAACAAAGGGTGCACCAAATTCATATTAAAACATTTGGTTTCCAGAATGAGATGTGGCACAGTGTATTTACAAACAATAAGTGACCATCTACAAAAATCAAAATGAATTTTAATTTCAATACAAGAAACAGAAGGACAAAGAGGTCATTAATTCCACTTGTATCATGTTTAATTTTGCAGTCACTTGCATTATGTGCAGTTGAATATTTAAGATCCTTTTTGCACCCAGTATGTTTTAGTATGGCTTATGGCTGACGTACATGTAATTTTTAGCATTCTGCTGGCCCAAGTTGACTTTGACAGTGACCCGTTAGCATTACGAAGCCCTGACAGGTGCTACAACCTAACTGTCCTGTGTATTGTGTTCTCACCCTATGCTTAAAAGCAACGATATTTAAGGAGGCTATCAAGTATGGAAGAGGATTAGGGCCACCATGAAAATATTATTTGAATTCTGACTTTTTTTCTAAATTCAGAATTCTGAGAAAAAAGTCAGAATTCAAATAATATTTTCATGGTGGCCCTAATCCTCTTCCGTAATCAACCAGCTTGAGAACATTTAATGTTTGTCTTTGAGCTCCTGAACATATCTACTGCTGAGGAGCTTTTCTTCAGACAGCTAAAGCCATAGAAACATTCAAAATAAACTTAAATCATTACTCTCTGGAATCTGGGACTTTTTCCTGTATATTTCCATGTGTACCTGGGACCAGAGAGTTGGTATAAAGGCCATTTTCACAGATTCACAGGGTATATAAAAAACCTGTAAACATTTTTTGGCCACTTACAGTGCGTTAAGTGGTCCGTATCACAGTGAGGCTGCACTTCAAGCAGCACATTCTAAAGCCGAGGTCTCTAACTCTGGTCCTGGAGAGCTACCATCCAATAGTTTTTCTGTCCCACTTGGCTTCTGATGAGCCACACCTGCTCCTGGTATTTAACCTGAGAACAGGTGTGGCTCATCAGAAGCCGGGTAGGATAGAAAACCTACTGGATAGTAGCTCTGCAGGACTGGAGTTGGAGACCCTGGTTCTAAACTATAGAGTGTCCCTGTCAACATTCCTACTCCGATTAATGTCCAGATCCAAGGCTTTGCCCATCTGTTAGCGATTTGTTTTTATTATTTCCAATCTTGTTAATTTCTGTCACTATACTGTGTAACATGTGACTACAAGTGTGTCATACCTGTTCCTGATTAGTAATCAGCTAATTGAGCCTGCTTTGTGATCTTGCTCTGAGCCAGTGGTCATTAGAGCGCAACCTTATTCAAACAGAGCAGTGAACATTGTCCCGGTTAAGATGATGTCATTGCTCTTAGGGTGTAGGGCTCAGACTGGTTTTTGATTCAGAGGCTCACTTGTGGGGCTTGATGTGGCTTTTCACTTGGTTTTGGGTCTGGGTGTTGAGTATCAGTGTCCATGGTTGTTGTTGAGTGGCATCTTGTATTGATGGTCCTGCTCCTGCAGTCATGGTCCTGATTAGCCGGCATTCCTGTCCTTGGGGTTTCTCTGTGAATGTCCAACTTTCTGTGTTGTAGCCCCGTTTCTAGTTCCCCACTTCATGGTCTGGGTTCTCCAGTTTTCCGTACCTGAGTCCGCCTTCCTGTGCACCTCATTCAGTCAGCAGCCTAAGTCCCTTTGGTACTATTCCTCCAGTGAATAGTCAGCAGGTCTCAGGAGGCAGTGGAATGATTGGATGGATGGATGGATGGCCCTGATTGCTGTGCTTTGTCTCAGACCAGGAAGGCCAATAAATGTTTCTACCTGAAAGTTGACTTGTTACCAAATGTACACGTATAATATGTGTGTGACGTGTTAAAGAAATTTGCCATTATATAATAACAGGCCTATACTTTAAGATAGAAAAATAAAGTCTTTGCAATATAAATGACCAAAACTGGGATTAATCTTAGGAAGCTTATTGCTGTCAGTGTGCAGAGTAGGTTAGTTATCCTGCATAGTATTCACACAAGTACTGCACACAAGTTCAGCAGTAGAGCCAAAAGAAGTGCAACCGAAGTCCCAGTTTCCCTAGCAGAGCTCTCTACCATGGTAGCTAGACTGTCACAGTGGTCCCCTCCGTAACCTTGGTAACAGTGACAGCGGAACCGCTCCAAGAGCTGCTGGAGTTCCTGATCAGTGTGCCATCCCACGACGGCGAACCTCCCATCACCGGTAGGATCGATGCGGTAGCTCTCACTGCTCAGGTGCAGGTAATGCGACGCATGGGGATCCCTGCGGACACACCTGCCTCCTCCCTGGCACAGGAAGTCACTGCAGATCTCTGCCGCTCGCGTCACATTCATAATGTACTGGCCTAGCTGACGGCCCAGAAACGCTTTTACTTTGGAGCAGTTGTGCTGAGGACAGTTAAAGAGAAGCGCTGTTAACAAAGGGTTAATTCTCCATTAACATCCATCTATTATAACATCATTTAAAGAACAGAGGTATTGTGTGTGATGTCACGTATGGCTCCAATGTGCTGTTAATTGAAGGAGCATTCTAACTCTGAGCAATGCCTACCGAGGCATTGCAGTAGAATTGATCAGTATTCCCTGAAAACCTTTGGCTACTGCAGAGACACATGCAGAAAGTCCATAAACTCACTCTGGAGGAGGTGAGGTTGAGACTACCCCAAATGACAAAGCCGGCCGCACCCAGAGCTGCACTTTCCCCGATGGTGTGGACCAAGTCCTTCTGGAAAGAACAACAAAATGCTGTAAATGCCTGTGCACACACTAGACAAACAAGAGCATGAGTACTCATTTACATATTACGAGTACTCACATTTACATACTGTGGAAAATGTATCTAACTCAGTGTCTTTGGAATGCAGGAAGAAACAAGAATACCTGGAGGAAACCCATGCAATGCAGAGAACGCACAAACTCCGCATAAAAACTGTGCTGAAGCAAGCTGTGCTGAGTTGACTGTGCTGAAAAGCAAATGTTCCCATGTATTTGTGAGGCCTACCATCTGTGACCACAAGGTGGCAGCATGGATATCTGGACCTGCCACATGTTTTTCCAGACATCATTCAGAGAGGTTTTCCAGTGAGGCTAAAATGTCATTGCAAGGAGGGGATACCGTTTCACAGCAGAATTTTAGCTATGCTAAACCGCAGTTGTTAGTGGACAGGAATAAATGTTTTGAACTGATCGCTTCATGTAGAATGACCAGGAGGTTGCTCAGTAATATTACACACACAGCTGCTGTATTGACCCTTGGCTTCTCCAGTTAGACCCTGGTCTTTCGCCCAGGCTTACCGTGGTAAGGAAGGTCATGGCCTCTTCCCGGTAGCCCATACGCGTGTAGACAAAGGTTGGCAGCTCATAGTCAAGAGAGGTGAGACTGGCGATGCGCAGGGACTCCAGCACCCGACACCGAGAGAAGTGCAGGTTGCTGTCATTATCTGCGTGGCGGCGTCTGATGGCGACTGAGGGGTAGAGCGCCGTGCTGCTGTTCCACAGCCACAGCAGCTCGTCATTGCGCCTGCGCTCCTGCAGGGGGCAGGTGCCTGTGTAGTTGGTCTCGTCCACATTGTAATTGTGGCAATCGGGGTAGAGGTAGAAGCCCCAGAGGCCAAGGGGCCGAGTACGCATGCCCAGCGTCAGTGTCTCCTGCATGAAGGCTGCGGCTCTCTCCTCGAACCCGTGCCGAGCCAGCTCCTCCACCTGGGCTTCGGACATGTTGGTGTAGGCTCCCCAAACCATCTCCCGCGACTTCCGGCGATAGATGTCCTTCTTGTGCCAATTGCGGTTCCATTGCGGCCTCCAGTACTCCCAGTCGATGACGGCCAGGCCGTGGAAGTCGCGGGAAGGGATGTAGTGGCGGATGTCCCGGTGGGCTTTGTGCAGGTGCGACTTGAGGCTGCAGTTCTGCGGCAGGCCGCCGTTAACAGGCATGCCCTGCTCCGTGTAGAAGGGGTAGTGGCCCAGTCGGTTAGCATAGAAGATGGTGACGTCCTGGCCCGTTCTCACGGCACGGGGACTGCCCTGGATGTGAAAGAGACTGAGGTCGATGCTCACGTTGTACTTGCTGACGCACATGTCCAAAGGGGCGTTCCAGGCAGCGATGAAGGGCTTGCGGCCAATCAGAGGCAGCTTGGCAGGTTTTAGAGCAAAGGCGACTTGAGCGAGGATGGTGAGCACATGGGTGATGTGAACGGCGTGGGGATTGGTGCTCCACGGCGTCACTTTAGGCATCCTGCTGCAATTCTCACCACAGGCAGCTGTCACTTGGCTGTCACAGCCGTCACCGCTTAGAATCCCAGCCTCCTTTCACGGCGGTGCCTGTGAGGTCAGAAAGCATCACATTTAACATGCTGTCACTCAGGGTGGCTGGTGTCACAGTGCTTCATATGTCCCATTATATCTTCCAGCTTCTAACCATGAATGTATTTTATGCAGCATTTCACATACAAATTAAAATATTATATTATACACAATTATATAACAGTTAGAGAATGTAATCCTTTGGACAATACTGTGAAGATGTAACCTGCAGAAAGAATGTAACCTTATTCCCTTAGAGCAGGGGGGCCCAACTCCAGTCCTGGGGGGCCGGAGCCCTGCGTAGCTTAGTTCTTTCCCTGTTCCACCACAAATGATTCAGCTCAAGAGCTGTGTGGTAATTAGCACAAGGAGTTGAATCAGGTGTGTTAAATGAGGGGAAACCCAAAAGTGTGCAGGGCTCTGGCCCCCCAGGACTGGAGTTGGGCCCCCCTGCCTTAGAGAATGCATGTCAGTCACTGCTGCACGATGTCGTCGTATAAGGATATATTTACACCCCAATTATATCTGAGGCTTATCTTGCCCCACTTAAATCCCGCAACTTATCACCACGTTGAAGGTTAAAAAATATAATTATCTCTGTAGATCAGTAGTGTGTAGCCAACAGAAACTGCGAAGGCCTATTGCTGTAGGAACACCTGTGTGTTGAGTTCATCGCACCGCCTGTGTGTTGAGTTCATCGCACCGCCTGTGTGTTGAGTTCATCGCACCACATTGGTGTCCTTGAACAAATCACCCAGGTTCTGGGCTTATTGCAATATATATAAAAATATTGTTTTCCAGAGAAGCTAAATAGCACAATAGATAATTGGCAGCTTATCAAACAGGCGCGGGAATAATCAGACCCCTGAGGAAGAACATAATGGTGGCAAATGGTTGGTGCTTAGAGCGCCCCCTTGTGATGAATAACTATCAAGAGATAAGAAAAATGTGTAAGAATCAGTGTAATTTAGCATTAATCACATTTAAGACCGAATCCGATCAACACGAGCAGCTCCTGAATCCTGATTGGCTGGAAAGAAAAACCATATTATATATTATATACTGTATATTACACTGTGACTGTGTGGCCGTGTGGCGCTGACTCCATGCTGCAAGACTGCTTCCAGTGCACAGATTGGCAGGTCTTCAAACATGTAGCTACGAGTGAGGGAGAGGTAGACCTGGAGGAATATACCCTGACTGTCCTCAGCTACATCTCTATGTGTGTCCATGATGTCACCACCACAAAGAAGGTCACCATCTATAACAACCAGAAACCCTGACTGTCCTCAGCTACATCTCTAAGTGTGTTCATGATGTCACCACCACAAAGAAGGTCACCATCTATAACAATTACCCTCACCTGTTTCTTGTTAGTACTGATTCCCAGTGTTTGGTTAATTGCCGAAGGTCTGCTGTTACACAGTACATCACTGCACATTCGGTTATATTAACCTGATTAGGCTGATGAAGCCCTTTTGCTATAGTTTGCTGTAGCGCAAGATGTCAGAGAAATTACCACCTTTCAGCCCAGTAGGACTGTAGCCAAAGTCCACTGAGTTGTTAAGCTAGCAGCCAAAAGGTATAGACGGCTCTTGGCAGATGTCGTACAGTAAAGCCTGTTTGTGCAGCTTGAGTGTGGCAGCAGCTCACACAGACAGGACGGTCATTTTCACTCTCAGGTCACACGTCACTCTTTCAAACATGTATGGATGAATACTTGGAGTTCCTTTGGCAAAGAACAAATCTTTCTGGACCCACAAGACTGTTCATGCTGAGAACTACCCTATATGTATGGAATTAATACTTGTCACTATGGTGATGTGTGTCTACATTATTCATGTTGGCGATTTTCATCATTAACTTCAGAAAGTGCACAGCAAGGCATTCCAGAAACTAGGGAAGGATACAAAATGACATTAGTGGTTACTTCACTGAGTCGTAAATGCCTCCAAAGCCCAAAGCGCTTGTTTGATCCAGCCACATGGCCAGACATGGACAGCAAGATCTACATCTGAGGTCTGCATCAATGTTTCAGTGTGCATATAGAATTATCACTATGGAAAATGTTCCTAAGCTTTTAAACTACAGCTGAAGTTTATTTGCACTGAAGTGTATTTGCACTAAACAAAAAGATCAGTGTTTCTGAACCCAGTCCTGAGGGATGCCCAGACAGTCCACATTTCTGCTCCCCCCCTGCTCCCAATCGCGCCTGTACCAGGTATACGGTGTTTGTGATTGGCTGGGAGCTGGGAGGGATCAAAGATGTGTACTGTCTGGGGGTTCCTGAGGACTGGGCTCAGAAACAATAGTCTAGACATCTCTGATATATCAGATTATGTATATCTGATTATGGCAAAAGGTGTTATGGCACAAGGCATGACGAGAATCAAGCACCTGCACATTTCTCCTTCTGAGACACAGAAAATGTAAAGTCATTAACATGTGACTTTGTTCATTTTAAACAATGTTTCAAATAGCAGGTATTTGATCTGTGATTTAATGGCTGGAGTTTTTACTTCAATGCTCGCAGAAGACACATTTCATACTCCTAATGTTTTCAAACTGAATTATAAAACCACTGGTAATGACTGAGTGATCCACCTGCCCTCCTCAGCAAACCACTAGGCATTGAAGGCGTGCACTGGCTAGCAGACATTAGCAATCACTTATAGAAAGCAGTTTCTCAGCTGTTACAGAATGTTTGAAGTAGTCTGGCTAGAAGCAAAGGTGAGGTTAGGGAGGCCTTGAGCTGTTAAGTCCGGAGGTCTGCTCTGAGGAGACGCTTACCCATGGGTTCGCTGCAGCTCTGCTACTCCAGGCATGGAAGACCTTCCTGAGAACGACGGGGGCTTGGCTGTCTCCCCGGGCTTCAGTGTCACATCACGTTCCCCCCCCCCGATGCCACAGTCTGCAGCGTGATCCCGCCCTGGGCCTTTTTATACGACGGGAGAGAGAGGGAGTGTTTCCTGAGGAGGAGGAGGAACCCGAACCGGCTCATGGCACCGCTACACAGCAATTATCCTGGAGCAGAAAGGAAAGTGAAGGAGGAGACAGTGAGCAGTTTGCTGTGATCCAGTGGGCACCTTGGCACCCTGGTCGCTGATTAGCCTTACTGCACTTAATGTTGGTACAGGTTTGCCACCTGCCTGCTTCCACATAGACAGTGTGCCAGTGCTGTTGATGAAGTCCAGGACGTCCTGAAAAGTGCGCTGATCGCTCTGATGATGAGGCAAACTTGTAGGCATCCAGTTAATCTGAGCACCGTGCATCTCTGTCTCCATCACATATGCTTTGATTAATCAGTCGGTTACCACTTAGTCTAATACTGTCAAAGCACCAACTGACTCCTTTGACATTCTTATGGTCAGCCGCAAGCGTGCGCCACAAGCAATCAGCAGTGTGAAATGTTCCAGATGCATTTCAGGATTGGCTCCAAATGAGGCAGTTCATCCTGCACTGGTAATTGGTGTGTACAATAACCCCCTTAGCACAGGGGTCTTAAATGCTTATTGTCCTGTTAAAAGACCTAAATATACTGTTGGCCTGCAATTGTAAAGCTGGGTTTTTGAATATATTGTGTTAATATATAATATCAAGTTTCAATTTATTTGTCAAAATTACAATGAAATGTGTTGGACGAGAGGATACGCAAGGACACGTCTCTCAGTACTGGAGGACACATTAGTGAGTATATTTGTGAGCGTGGATGGTTGGCTATAGTTAGTGATAGAAGTTTGCTAAGTTTGCAATATTATTTAGTGTAAATGTGACATATTTATCCATTTTGAGAATATTGTGTGGACCATGTAAGATGGATGGTATTTTGAGGAAGGATCTCTGCTCAGACATAAAATAACTGGATGTCTTCAGTTAATGGCAAACATTGCTCTGTGTCACTTTTACATGAAAGTTCCTGTTTTTAAAATAAGCCATAGGTTTTTGATAAATTGATAAGTTTCATTTGTCAGGCGAGGCAAAATTATTTATATAGCACAATTCAGATGCAAGGCAATTCAAAGTGCTTTACAAAGGCAGACGGATATATTTAAATACATTAAAATCACATTTGAAAGAAAATGAAAAAGGCTAAAAGCCAAACAAACAAATAAATAGTTAACTGAAAATAAGTTACACCAGTAATGTTTTAAGCCCTGAGTTTTAGCAGGACCTCATGTCTGCAAGAAGCTCGTTCCACAGACGGGGAGCATAGACAGTGAACGCTGCTTCACCGTGCTTGGTCTTGTTCCTGGGAACGCTGAGTAAACCTTTCCCAGACGCCCTTTGGGGTCTGGATGCTTCATAATGTTCAAGTAAATCAGAAATGTATTTAGACCTGAGACCAATTAGCACTTTATACACAAGTAAAAATATTTTTGTATGGGCAGAAATATTCGGCAGCATCCTTTCTGAGTCTCGCTCACCGTAAGGACACTTAGAGGGAAGCTGCCGTAGGAGTCCGTCATAAAGCAGCGCGTGCATCTCCGCTGGGATGGGCGGGATGAGGCGAGACTAACTGGCACTTCCTCATATTTATCGGAGCTTCAAAAAGATCCGGAGATTTCTGCTGATGGAGGCCAACCCTGGGGACACGCTTGGCTGCATCACGGAATCCAGGAAGATGCCCGTTTGCCATCAGGCTCAGACTGAAACTGTAGAGCTTCACGACGAGTCGGCTGGTTATTGGTGAACTGGGACAATTTGTCAATTTCTATTTTTCTCTCTCATTTTAAAGACATGATCCTAATTATAAATGTTAAAACGTTAAATATCACTGAAAGCTCAAGATCTGAACTTAAGTTAACAGACCACAGAGGCATAAAGATCTAGAGCGTGTCCCAGTTTAGCCTTTGTCCAGGTTCAGGACTGAGGTCTTTCTGCTTCAGGCCCAGTGGTAAGATGTCCTCCGCCCGTCCCTGGAGCTACTGATCCCTTTGGTTTACGGTCAAAGAAAGGCCCCGTCTGCCTGGGGGGCCGGTCAGCACCTCTGTGAGAGCTCGCCGCTTCCTCTGCCCTCTATTGGATGCAGATGTTAGCATGTCGCGGCTCTGGCGCCTGGACGGACAGAACACCCCCGGCACCATACGGGATTTGTTTTGTTGCCGGGGATTCAGAGCCGTCTGCCCCCGCCGAAACCCACCCCCTCCTGGCAGTAGTGTGTTCTCAGCAGTTTCAGTGGAGACAGGCTTCCTCTGACCCAAAAAAGAATTAAAATTGGGGGCCCGAGTAAGCGTCTTGGCGGAAACCACACTCCCATAGCTGGGGCCGGCTCTTCTGAGCGACTCACCATTAGAACTGGTGAAATGGTTCATTCTGATCCCAGTGGATCAGAAGTCTTCCCGATTGGAAATGCCCCCATTGTTCATAGTGAACCAGTATGACCAGTTTAGGAAGGGGTAGTGAAGGCCAGTTGGCTCTGTGATCTCCATCCCCATGTCCTTGTCTGCTCTCTTATAAGTTCATTCTGCTCTGCAACTGGAAACTCCCCTTGAATCCTGGAGGCTGTTAAAACTGGGCATCGACCTCCAGCTTGGGATTCTGGGAGTAATAATGAGAGTCGTTAAATAGTCATCTGGGTATTCATCTAGATTGCTTTAATTAAAAAAAAAAAGATACAAATGTCATATAATTATTGCAAATACAGTAAATATGCAGGTAAAAACAAATGTGTACTAGATATTGAGGTTTATGCCTGTCAGAGTCAAACACAATTGACAGTGACTCATCAGAGCTGCTAACGCGCTTTGATTCATCACGATCTACAGCTAACATTGGGGATTTGACTTCTGCAGCTGCCAGAGTGATTATATCACTGCTGGCTCCATACCCTCTAGAAGGGCCGTACATTGGTTTGTCCTGCTGTCTGACTCCATACTCTATATACATGTGTTTCTGTATCACTCATAGTTGGAAAACTGCCTCATTTTGCCATGGGGATGAATGAAGTATCTCTATTACATTTATTAAGCAGACAATTTTATCAAAAGCATGACCAACTGAGAAAGCAGGGCTCCTGAAACCATACTGTGAGATTTGAACCCATGACCTTCTGATCATAGGCAGCGAGCCCTAACCCACAGTGCCACACAGCACTGCAAACTGCCTTCCTCAGCCAAAGCTGTGTGATACTCTGGCCAGATGTAAAACGTGCATTTGATGCTCCAGATAACGGGGTTGTTTATGCTGGAGGGGCGCTTTAAAGGCAAACTGCCGAATCGCAAGATTGCAATGGGCTGCGACACAAAGCATGGAGGAACGTCATTAAATGTAAGCGCAGGTTCACGCACCATCGCCCGTGTGATACTGCTCCCATGTGCTTCCCAAGGCTCAGGGTTTAGCTTGACAATGCTGCAGAACACGAGCTGAGGTTTGATTATTGAAATACTGATAAAAGTTACTGGGATTATTCTACTCTTGTTAATAATCATTTCATTATACCTCAGGCACTCATATTGCTGAAAGAGGAAAGACTACAAGGAAAGAATTATAATTATAAATAATAACAATAATAATAATAATAATGAATGGTAAACTGATTAAATCTGTAGTAAAACTGAGCAGTAAATATGGCAGAATAGCCCAATGTCTTAGTTATCATGTCTCTTATTATTGTGAATAATCATTGTGGTCAGGGCTTACAGCTATCAGTGAAGCGAATGATGGTGGTCTTCAGTAAAAACCAAAAAACCAAGGCAGACAGACCACATGGAGCTGAGTGTTGCTTTTTTGTCTTGTGATGGAATCTCTCTGAAGCCATGAGAATAAAATAAATAAATGTAAATGAGAATTAACGGCATGCGGAGCAGAGCAGACCAGACCGGAGCGGAGCAGAGCAGAAACATTGAAGATGTTAGTGCTCCCTCTGAAATGTCGCTGTGGCTGGCATTTTGAATCATGGTTATTCACAGAGTGAATGACTCCTTTAAGAAGGTCGGGAGGCTGAATTCTCTGTGCTCCAGAGTAGCGCTTAAGTAAGGAGGCCTCTCTGTGCTCCGGAGTAGCGCTTAAGGTAAGGAGGCCTCTCTGTGCTCCGGAGTAGCGCTTAAGGTAAGGAGGCCTCTGTAATGAACCTTAAAGCAGCAAGATAAGTAGAATTTACGCAGAGAAGATATAGGAGAATTCAACAAACAAACAAACAAACAAATAAATTTATTTTTGTATGGCGCATTATCACAACATTACATCGTCTCAAAGCGCTTTACAGCATCCCCACCCAAAGCCCCCAGTGAGTAAGCCATAGGCGACAGTGGCAAGGAAAATCTCCCGAGAAGGAAGAAACCTTGGGAGGGACCAGACTCAAAGGGGGAGCCCATCCTCCAGGGGGCAGCAGAGGGAACCCTAACCCTAACCAGACTCAAAGGGGGAGCCCATCCTCCAGGGGCCGGCAGGGAGAGTCAAATACAGTAAATTCCTATCGGGGATGCCCCCATAGTCCGAGATCTTATGTTAAGCAGTACTCACCCTGGACATGCTTAAATCTATGCTGAAAAGGCTTTTAAAACCTGAATGTCGTTCATGTGATTCATTTTAAATGCACCTCTTTATTAGCTTTAATATTTAATTTTGTTTTATTGTATGCTTCGGTTTCTGCCATCATGCTGCCATTTTGCCCAGGGTCCTTTAGTAAAAGAGATCCTGCTAAGAATGTTAATGTCAAAATACAGCATGTTTAGGATAACTGTAAAGAATGGTTAGTTTTTATGATAAATAAAACATCATTATTCCTATGAAATGAAAATGAGTTGATAGTGTAATGTTTTGTGCAGTGTTACAAAATTACATAATTATACTACTTGTGTTTCATGCCTTCATGGCTGTTGGACCAGCTCATCAGGTTCACAAGGATACTGGAGGGTTTGTGGCAGTTTGCCCAACCAGTCTACATGTGCTTTGTGGACT